AGCGTGTCTTGTAAACGGGCGACTTCAGGTGATATCGGCTCAAACCTGCAATCATTTTGTTTGCAGCTGACATCACAAGCATGAGACTGCAGGACACATGTCACTTCTAGTTTTGCTCCATCTTTAGACAACCTGAACATTTACAAAGCTCGCCTTATTCTGCAGCACATGGATGAAGTCTGTGAGCAGAACTAACAAGCTCCGCCCACAGGACTGATAAAAGAAGCCAGAATGGAAGCGCCGAAAACTCTCTGCTGATCCTCTCGTGGCCCCTCGAAGATGGCTCCAATGGCGAGTCTGAACTTTGAAGCCTCAAAGCCTTTGTCTGCTGCCAACTGTGGGTGGAAAGATAAGCTATCAGCTAATGCTTGGATAGCAAGCTGCACCCATAAACCTACTTGGGGTGTGGTCGCAATAACTGACTATCCCGACAGTCCTGGGACTAAAATTTATAGATGTCTGCCAAGTGGCAACCTCAGAAGAAGCATCTTAGTCACATGGTAGAGTACACCGTACTTTATTATTCCTTGTGAGCTTGTTGGGAACCATAACTGTGCTTTATTTATTAGGGGCCCTGCCCGGCCATCAGACAGAATGCAAGGTTAACACACGTCAGCTACATTTATCTTTTAAATACAGTCAAAGAATCAACTATGGAAGCGTTTAAAGTAGCGAGCAGCGCCCATCTTCACACACTGCTTCACCTTTCACACCGGAGCAGAGCAGCTGCTGCTGTAAACTGCTGCAAAAACAGCAAAACAGCCTTTTAAATGAATAACAGCCAGTTAGTGCAACAAGTAAAGTGCTGCAGCTTCTCTGGACCAGCTCACTCTGCTGTTCATATGAGTGAGAAGGAAAATAACACCAAAAAATCAAAGTAAAACATAAAAAAGGCTTGAAATATTTCACTTTATAAGTAATATAATACAGATTAGATTACAGATTAAATAGAGATTTATTGATCCTCTCGCTGATCAACCACAGACCTGCTCATCAGTCTAAAACACTGAAGCATAAAATCACACGTGACTTAAGAGATGAAATTCACAGTATCACATCTTTGTGCAGCATTCCAGTCTTTGTTTATTTCGCTTTAACCTGTTAATTACTCAGCTTATCTGCCCAGAATCCAAGTCAGGATTTGGACTTTGTGCTAACTGGTAAGGAATAGTAAATCCAGGAATGTGTCCAGTTTGTAAAACAGGTAATCAAAGTTTCTGTTTCTTGTCTTCGTGAACTTTACCGGAAGGAAAAAGAAGCTGTGATAGCCGGTGCTGTAAATTCCCTGAATTATTCCTCCAAGCGACGTCTCTTCAGTCTGATTCTTCACTTTGTGTTTTTTAATAGTGATGAAAAGAATTCACACCAGTGCAGCTCAAATGTGAACACGTCCATCGTGCTCTCGCTGATGTAAAGAAACCTGCACACTGGTGACAAACCACACTGTGCAGACCACCTTTAAGCTCCCTTTAGATCCACTTATGAATTAGTAACTGGGTAGACTGGGGGTGGGGTGGGGCATGAATGGAAGCGATATACAGCTGGGTGTGTTTACAGTCACTCCTGGTCGTCCTCTGGTTCTCTGAGGCCCTGACTGTGCATGGTCTTCCCTGTGATCTCCATCAGGGCCTGGGCCTCTGGATCCACATCCAGGATGCTCTTCTTAACTCCGCCCTCCTCACCCTGTAAAGCAAAATAATAGGCACAGAAAATAAAA